ATGGTGTTGATATTTCTTGCTCAAGATGGCACCATTTCAAAAGGAAGGGAGGGGAGTGCAGATTCCGTACCTGAAGAAAGCTAATACTCAGAAGCTCTAGCCGGACCTCTCATGTTGATGGCTGGGCACCTGATGAGGGTCAAGGAGATCAAAAGGGCCCATTGCTGATCCATCTGAACCACTCTTTGGTGTTTCTGCCCACACCCCGAGCTACGACACAGAACAGTGGCTGTTGCCAGTCACTCACAACTCCTTCCACTCCCCTGGTGGGTGAGCGATGGAAGCAACACTTTTATATGGGGGTTGTCAGTAGGATCCATGGCAACCCCCCGCCACGATGGGTTACCCCAAATGCAATGCTTGACCCAGTGTCAACATCAGGGGAAGCATTTCATTCTGGCAAAACTTGGGCTAGTGCTGAGGAGGGGGCTTAAGCAGGAGTCCTGGTTTGGACAAAATGCTAAGCCAAACCTTGGTGTATAGCTTAGTGCGGTGCAGCCATAAAAAGGACCAAGGAAGAGCAAAATGGTCTCCAACTCCTCTCCCGCAGCCTGTATGTCCATACCAACATTTGGGCAGGGCTGTCTTACTCATAGGCACTAGGGGTGCAGGCACCTGGGCGCTGGGTTCTCAGGGGCACCAGGCTGAGAGTCCGGGGCCCGAGAGCTGAGTCCGGGGGAAAGCCCGCCCGTTGGTTGCTGCAAGCGGCTCTGCGCTGTGAGTTCAGGGCTGACTGAGCCAGCAAGATGCTGAGGCGGCTGGCCAGCTCTGCCCTCCTGCACGCCTGGGACTGGGCAACCTGGGGGGGGGGGGCGCGCTGGGTGGATCTTTGCACCCCGGCACCACATATGCTTAAGACAGCCCTGCATTTGGGTTACTGTGTTGCATGAGCCAAACATCCTATTTGCACTGTATTGGGTTTTCCATCACTGAAAAGCCTTTTAATACTTCAAGCTAGCATGAAGCATTTTTGTCCTAGCATTTTTACATTCATTTTACGTGGCATTTTTACACTGTGATTAGAGGTCCTAATACATGCCTAAGCAAGTCATTGGGTGTAGAAAGGGCTCTAGATGCCTCTTGGAAGCCTAAATCCCTTTCGTCCTTTTACCAAAGGCACACAAGCTCCATCTTTTAACTGGACTCCATTCTCAAGTTCACCAGCAGCTACGTGTTGTGAGAAGATGCCCCACGATGTTCTGGTTTACTGACGAGGAGCTATGTGCTAGCCATTTAAATGCTTTACCACATGGAAGTTGTAATAAAGGTAGGCTTCTGTTGCATCCAGCAACACAGATAAAGCCAGCTTTAGCATTTTAGCACCTCACTTATCCTTTACCCAACAGCATCACTAGAAGCTAGAGTCATCACCAATGACAGCATTCCCGTATTATTGATGCCGTCAACATTTAAGATGCCACCACATAATTTCTAGTCACCCACAGGTGCAACTTAGGGGAAATTAAATATGAAAGCTGTATTATGTTCTTAGACAAGATGGACAGCAAGAGAAAATGTGAAGGAGGGTTTCTGACACACTTTGCTATTGTAGCAGCATACAGCACTCTTTGTGCTAGATGCACCCATGAAGTTATACTGGCATGGGGACTAGCCACATATTTGGTCCATTCTACATGGTTCCCTGAAAGCAGACCCTGGGTTGAATCCACACTTGTTTCTGTGAGAATGGAGGGGCTCCTTCAGTTGTGCAGGGAACTAGGATTCAGTGGAGGCTCACCACTGAAGGAAAGGAGGAAGGCAACAATTTCACAAGTGCCAGCTTCCATGCTTTCCTCCCATACACTTCCAAAACTGTTTGGGTGTGTGTTCCCAAGGGAGACACAGGAGGCTGAGGACAATCAGCAAAAATTAATACCTGAACCCCTTTCCTCTAGTACGGCAGAGCACGACTGCGTACAAGTCAGGACCCAGCCTATTACCAAAGCAGTGTGGAATGGCAGTCCCACCACCCCTGAAATGAAAGATCAAGTCCTAAGTTAAAGCTGACATGACGAAGACATGAATGTTGCCATGTTCTCAGGAGTGGAGCATAAAGGATTGAAAACCATAAGTAAAGGCAAGAGTGAGTAGTCAGTTATGATAAAGAGATGAATATTTATTTATTGAAATACTTATAATCCAGACTTTTATAAAAGTTTATCAAAGGTGGCATACAACATACAAGATTTTAATAAAATCAGTAAAAGCATCAGTAAAAACCATCAATACATACTGGTTGGTTAGAATGGTGGAAACAAATCACATTGCAAAGGCTGAACCACAGGGGCATGAGGAACCACCAGAAGTGTCCCCTCAGAAGATCTCAATGAGTGAGATGGAAAATAAGGGATCCCAGATTTTTGGGCCCAGAATAAAGTGATAGAGGAAGCTAAGGACCAAACTCTGGGGTACACTAACATAAGGGGGGGGGAGTATTGAAAAGAACTACAGTGGTACCTCGGGTTACATACGCTTCAGGTTACATACGCTTCAGGTTACAGACTCCGCTAACCCAGAAATAGTGCTTCAGGTTAAGAACTTTGCTTCAGGATGAGAATAGAAATCATGTGGTGCAGCAGCATCAGGAGGCCCCATTAGCTAAAGTGGTGCTTCAGGTTAAGAACAGTTTCAGGTTAAGAACAGACCTCCAGAATGAATTAAGTTCTTAACCCGAGGTACCACTGTAATGAATACAGTATGCATAGATTCAGTCATAGATACACAGAGAGTTTAATCAACTGTGCCAAAGTTACTGAAGAGAAGCAGAATAGAGGTTGCTTGACAGAGCAGCTGGAAGTCAGAGGTGTTTTTCCCCAGAAAGTTCAGAAAAAGCAAACTTTTTAAAAAAATCAGTTGAAAACTTCATATTCAAGGAAACTGAGAACAGAGGACAGGAGAGATATTAAATTATCATAAGAGAGACAAGAAGGGTTAAGCAATAAGCTAGAAATGGACCCTTTGTTTTGAACAAGTCCGTTCCTGGATTTGTTGGTATGCACACAACAACCATCCCATGCCAATTGTGGAAAAGGTTTTGCAACATAAGCATGTTGAGGCTGAATGGTACAGTGCTGGCTTTTAAAGTCCCTGCACCTAGTTTATTGGGATGACTATTTCCATGCTGCACGGTGCTGTGTTCCAGGTTATTTTAACCCTTTGCAAATACTGTAACACTGCCACTACTCAATTTTCTGACTATTAAACAGTTTTGTATGTAAGCAAGCTTGCACACCTATTATATTACACGCTAGACAAAGTGTCTTACAACATAATCACCGTCTGTTAGGAAATAGATCAAGTCCAGTACCTTGAGTCTCATTTTCTGCACCAACGACATCTAACTGCCCCCTCCTGAATATCAAGATATATAAAGCTTTCACCCTCCCAGTCCCAAAGTTATGGCTTCAGAATGCATAAAGCCCATCTGAACAAGGAAGGGATGGGGAAGGAAATCAATATTCTTATAGTTAAGAACAAAGGGCATGCAGTCCTGTTATATGCTATGCCAAGTGAAAGGTCTTCTTTCAGGGCACAGGTTCCCAGAAAGTCTTCTAAACTGCATCCAGGAATTGAAGACATTCTTATTTGTGACCCACCCTTTGATCATTCCACTGAACCAGCACCTACTTCAACATAACCTTCCAATTCCACACAGGTCCAGACACTCAGTGCAAACAAGTCCAGTGATCGACCCACAAATTACCGTACTTTTTGCTCTATAAGACTCACTTTTTCCCTCCTAAAAAGTAAGGGGAAATGTGTGTGCGTCTTATGGAGCGAATGCAGGCTGCGCAGCTATCCCAGAAGCCAGAACAGCAAGAGGGATTGCTGCTTTCACTGCGAGCGATCCCTCTTGCTGTTCTGGCTTCTGAGATTCAGAATATTTTTTTCCTTGTTTTCCTCCTCCATTCAATACTTCTTTAGCATTTCCCAATACACAACATGCTGCAGAGATCTTCTCAGGAGCCTGACCTTAACCACTCTTACTCAGAAATAAATTCCATTGATTTCAGTAGGATTTACTTCTCAAACAGTATGCTTAGGAATGATATCCTGGTCATTTAACCAGGGAATAACCCCCAGCAAGAATTATGCCTACAAGCGGAAGGTATGATTGGATATTGACCCACAGTTCACAGGTCCATTTGCAGGGAATTCAATTACACCCATGAAATCCTGCCCCCAATGGCATAGTCTTAAACTTTTTTACATGAAGAAAACTGCACAAGGAGTAGCAATAGCTTCATGGCTACTTTTCCATATGCTTTGTGAAAGAAAGTGATCTGTATTCAAGCTGCTGGAGCAACAGAAACGCCTCTCCTTTTTGTTTTGTGTGACCTGTAACATCCAGCACATTATATGCACACACATACAGAGCCCGGGCATCAGGCCAACAGACCAGGTTTGCAGCGGGAGAAGCAAAGGCTACGAACCTTATACTTAGCCTGTGGCTACTGCTTTTCAGCACATGAAGAAGTTTATAGACCAGCTGAATTTCTTTCCTTTCCTACAGTTAGTGAAATTGACTGTGAAAGTGAAAAAGAACGCACACAGTTTCCAGCCACAAATTTCTTAGAATAAAATCCAGAACAGTAGTAGAACAGTCTGTGCAAAACTGGATTCTCCTTATCACATTAGTATTGAGCACACTTTTTAGACTCTTCAAGTCTGGAGTTTGTTCCCCATAAAACACCGACTGGAATCTATCAGCGATAAGATTAAGGCAGCAGCAGCGCGTCCCTTCAACGCGCTGAATGCTTCAGTCAAACAATAATTCCCACTTCATGCTATTTAATCCCAGGCTAGGTGTGTACAAAGGTCTATTTAAAGGGAAGCCCCAGTGATTTCAGTGAAGCTTACTCGCAGGTCAAGTCTTTGTTTGCTGCGGTCCGCTGGAAAGCCACAGCTGTTGAGAGAGAAACTAAAACTAACCTAGAATATTCCTCAGCAATAACTACGGAAGCAAGAGGAAGTAAAGCGGAAGAAATATTGCAATTTACCTTTTGGATTCCTGAACTCAGATCCATTCTTCAGCTTGCCTTCCCCGCTTCGCGCTTCCTCCTATTTGAATCTGCCTGAGGCGTGCAAATATTTATTGCTGTAATTCTTTAGCTGGGACAACAGCTTTGGAGTGAGTAAAAATCGCAAACTGCTGTAGGTACCGAGGAGCCCCGGGAGCTATTAGCAAACCACACGTTCCAAGCCCCAGCGTTTATTCACAAGCTGCCTGCATGGGACCCCGTTAATTGGAGCTCACAACTCCTCTAAACACCCTGCCAGCCAATCAGATGAGGGCTTTAAACTTTTTCAGCCAATGCGAAGTGAGGCTTTAATCCTCAAGGTTCTTCGGCTTGCTTTTTAACCCCCAGAGGGAAAGGATGGAGCGAGCAGAGGCACGCCGTTTTCCAGCTGTGGAGGCAGCGCTCGCCCAGCTGCTTCGAGCGAGGAGACTGCAATGATCCCGCCCCGGGATCTCTCGTCTCCTGCTTTCCCTTTTAAAGGATGAAGGGGAAACCTTGCGCTTAAGCAAGCCAGTTCATTCACAGAAAGAGGAAGTGAGTGGGTGGGTGGGTGGGTGGGATATTATTAGCCCATTAAATCCAAAAATAATTTCTGATCTAAACTGTGGCCCTCATCGCCGTTGCGCTAATCAGACATTTTATTTAAGCCAAATGCATATTTTTAAGCCATGGCAACGTTTGTTTGTTACTGGTGTCTGCAGCTGGAAAAAAAAAGAGGGCAGTGCCTGCAAAAAGGGTGGTGTAACTCAAATGCCATTTTAAATACTTGCTTTTCCTCTGCCAATGGCCCTTAGGATGGCCCATGTAGTGATGTTGGGAAATTTAGCAAGTTAAAACTTTGGCTCATGTTAAAGAAGAGCCAAATGCTGTAGAATCCTGGGAAAGTGTATCTGTTTCTTTAATTGCAGACTTTCTGTCCGTAAGAGTGTGAATAAGTTATTTTCTCCATCTGTAGGAAAGGGAGTTTCTAGTTGATTTGTGGTTCTTGACACCTGGCTGTCCCGTGGATTCAGTGTGAATGGGTTATCTTGTTAATTTACAACTCAAAGAATCTGGTTGTCTGTGGGAATGCTTTAATCTTCAAGGTCTTGGGATAAACAGGATTCAGCTGCCAATTCTTCTAAAAAGTTTGAGTTATTGTTCTTCTATCTAACCATTGGCAAATTGCTAATTAATCTAAAGAACTGATTGGCTTTTGAGTTTTGAACTCAGGTGAAATTCGCAGACCATCTTGCCAAGCAGCGGCCTGCCCTGATGCGGGGGGGGGGGGGAATGCACGCACGCATGCACAAAACACGAAAATGAGAGATCCAATCCAAATTGTAAAGAACAAGGCTCTCTGCTTGTTCTGGAGACTCAAAACATACTTTTCCAAAAGTTTTAAAGGAGGGTTTTCAAACTTATTTTCCTATTTTCTAGCCTGGTTGTTAACTACCGTACGTCTCTATGAAGTGGCCCTAAACCAAACCTGCCATTTCCCATTTTTAACACACTGTTATGTCTTACTCAAATTTCTTCCACATGTTCATGAGGAAGAAATAGGAAAACAACTTTCCTTTCTTTGTTCAATAATGTAAATGGAAATAGGTTCTTAAGTGAACCAGCCGTCTTGTAACTTGGGCTGCAATTCTGAGCATATTCAAACCAGTAAGGCTGCAATCCTAAATCCACTTCCTGTGGAGTAAGCCCAGTTGAACACAGTTGGACACACTTCCAAGTATGCATGTGGAAATTTGTGTTATATGTCACACTGAAGCGAGTGGGATTTACCTTTGATACATGATCTAAGATCTCTAGTCCATGAAAGCTAATGTCACAATAAAATGGGATCATCTTTTAAGATGCCACAAAACTTTTTATTGTTTATACTTGGGCTGCATACACATTACTGTTTCCTCTGACTCCAGCATGCTGACACCACTGGTGCCAGAAGGCACGTACACATGTATCCTGCAGCTTCATAAGTAATACACCTGCTTGATTCATTTCCCCACAAACCAACTGATTAGAAAACAGAAGCCGCAATTAAGCAGAAGTATGTACATTGGAGGCATCCATTGTGGGTAGGCAGATGACAACTTAAGTGAACTGGAGTTTGGCACAGAGGAACAAGTCAGTTAATATGCATTGGCGTGTACAGCAAGACAAGAAAGTGACTTGAAATGCAGTAGTGAGAGGGAAACACAACCTTGCTGTGTTTCAAGCAAGGTGTTTATGCTGCAGTCCTATACCCACTTACCTACTTTTATGATTTTGCGGTTTTAAGACCTATGCCACCTGAAAGCTAAGTGATACAGGGAAACAGAATTTTGAATTGTAAACAAAATTGCATGTGGGCTGTAAGGGTGACACCTTGTGACAGAGTAACCATCTAAGTCCATCTGCCATGAATTAACATTATTATTTTTATTATTTTTAAATTACATTGCATTTCTCCCTTCATTCATAGATCCCAGAGTGCTTCACAGCCTATGTGTTGACAACTTCAAAGACTCAAACATGTTGCATCCAGAGCTTCTGTGGCAGGTGTGGAGAACTTTGGGGCCTTCACATGTTGCTGAACTACAACTCCCATCAGCCCCAGCAAGCATGGCCTATGGAGTATGGGAGTTGTAGTTAGAGCAACATAAGGCGGGCCAGGGACGCGGGTGGCGCTATGGTCTAAACCACTGAGCCTCTTGGGCTCGCCAATCAGAAGGTCAGCGGTTCAAATCCCTGCTACGGGGTGAGCTCTCGTTGTTCGGTCCCTGCTCCTGCCAACCTAGCAGTTCAAAAGCACCCCAAAAAGTACAAGTCGATAAATAGCTCCAGCAGGAAGGTAAATGGCGTTTCTGTGCGCTGCTCTGGTTTCACCAGAAGCGGCTTAGTCATGCTGGCCACATGACCCAGAAAAACTGTCTGCGGACAAACACCGGCTTCCTCAGCCTGGACTTAACTGTCAAGGGTCGTGACTGGACTTAACTGTCAAGGGTCCTTTGCCTTTACTATTTTAAGGCGGGCCAAAGGTTCTCCACACAACATGATCTTCAGTTATGCTCATTTATATTACTAATAGATTGAGTTTCAGATCCTTCTTAAATTCTTTTTATCTAATTTTGCATAAGCAGATAGCAGCCACATCTGTACTGAGCTTTGACGAGAACCAAATAGCATACAGAGAGGATTGTTGGAGTCATCTCACACATTGTATCTGCCGCTGAGTGTACACTCAACAGAAAAGAACAACAACACAGTCAGAACCTGTTCTATGATGGTCCGCCTTCATGAAAGAAGTTTGCAATCATCTTTGCTACATTCACACACATTATTAGGTGTTTGCGTAAAACATCTTACACAATAAGATGCACACAATGAAAAAATCTAATATGAAAAGCAGCCCATAGCATCCAGCTCCACATGAATCAATAAAATACTGACCAAGTGATCTTTACAAATACATTTTGAGTTTTGGGTGTGCTCGGAGTTCTCAAGAGTTATCTGCAGCTGCTTTGTGTTTATCATGGAACACAAATTTAAGTGTCCCAAAGCTTACAAATAAATAAACAAGAATACAGTGGTACCTTGGGTTAAGTACTTAATTCATTCCGGAGGTCCGTTCTTAACCTGAAACTGTTCTTAACCTGAAGACCACTTTAGCTAATGGGGCCTCCTGCTGCTGCCGTGCGACTGGAGCACGATTTCTGTTCTCATCCGGAAGCAAAGTTCTTAACCCGAGGTACTATTTCTGGGTTAGCGGAGTCTGTAACCTGAAGCGTATGTAACCTTAAGCGTATGTAATCAGAGGTACCACTGTACATGAAATGGTCTGGAAGCAGCTGTAAGCAGGTTAGCTTAACAGGTAGAATTCTAGTCCCTTAGGGTTTTTCTAGACTTTCCCAGTCCCCATTATTGGCTTGAGAAGATAAATCATTTGATTCATTGAAATTTATCATTGTCTCTGGCCACATTTTAAAACCCCATCAAAAAGAAAAAGAAGAAAAAGGTGCTCTGAATGTTAATGAAACATAGGATACAGCAGTAGCCAGACATGACTATTCAACTTTGAAATGGCATTTGAGCACCAAACAAGCTGAGTAATGAAAGCATTTGAGTTAGAAACATGGGGAAAATAAACAGAAAGTTCTGATGGACATTGTCATGGAAGACGCTGAGATGCTCAGGCAGTGTGTTGTCTGGGCAGGGTTCCAAAAAATATTTTCTCCGGCTGCCTCTGACTAATACATCTGTCTTATGCCTGTCTGCTTGTTATGAAGAAACTAAATCATTTTCTGACTAAATGTAGATTAAATCTCTGTAACGGTCATACTCTGGGAACTGACGTGACAGGCTGATGAAGGAGGAAATGGTCTTCATTATTGGAAAGTGCGCAGCATGGGAGATCACCTTCTTCCTGTGTATTTCGCAAGTCTGATGCATCCTGAAGCCTATTCATGGGTGAGTAGTCCTTTAAGGCAGCCTACAGTGACAAAAGGAAAAGAATGGTTGCAATTTGGTAAATCAGTAGTAACTTGGAATTAGTGTGATGTCTTAACTAAACAGAATTCCTTTCTTATTCTGACAAGACGTTTAGGAAAGAAAAGCCTAGACTTCATGTCTCCTTTTACCTCCTTTTATAGTTGTTTAAATTAGATTGCTGAAGTAAAAAGATGTGATAGGGTACCTAGCCTCTCACTTTTATATATCCACAATGTTTTTGATCGAGGTGTAAAGGTCATCGATGGATCAATCTCATGTGTTACCTCACACATTACAGATTAAGAAGACATAGACACGTAAAACTGATGTTTGTGTTAGAATGTAACTTGTTATGGTACTTGTAGAGGAAGGAAGGAAGATAAAAAAGGGAATTAAACCAGAGGCGGAGCAACCTGCTCCAGTACCCAGGGGGCATGGCGTGAGTCCCAGGGGTGTGACACATGTCCTGGGGGCATGGCATGGCGCCTGCGGGGAGCATGGTGCATGTCCTGGGGGGATGCGCAGCACATGGCGCGAGCCCCGGGAGGTGTCGCCAGTCGGGGGTCAGCATTTTGCCACCCCCCCTTTGGAATAGCACACGGGGCATGCTGCCCCCCCGCCCCCGCCTTGGAACGCCCCTGAATTAAACAATACCTACATAAATGTGGCATGTGTACCAGTGTTTAATGCTCAGAACCATACTTAAAAGTGCTGGTTTTGACCTTTGAATGGCTGGCCCTCAGTCAGGACAGGGGACTGGTGCTGGTGTTGAAGTATGCCACACAGTTTGCCCTTTGCTCCCTAGATACAGAGGACAGCTTTTTGCCACCAATGTTGAAATAAGATGCAACTGCCAGTCTAGTCAGTTTCAGTATGGAAGGAAATCGCCATGTTTTCTACCTCAGATAGCATAATGTCTTAAGGTAGACCTGACTTTTAAAGCCCTTGGGACCAGGCCAGGATACCTGAATCATTGCCCACTTCTGCATGTACCTACCTGGACCGTAAGAACTACTTTGGAGACCCTTCAGCAGGTGCTGTCACCACCAGGCAAAGTGCTGAGAAGGCCCATGGACTTGTCATTTTGGTGTGATGCAAAGGCATTTACATTTTTCCAGTCTTTATCCCTTCCATATGAGCTTGGGTACTCATGTCATTGACAGATACTGTCCCTGTAAGCCAATTTTCTGTAGTGTAGCAACCCCGCCTACATCTCTGTGTCTACCTCACATGAGAATGGAATGGGAGTAGAAAGGAAGTCTATTTGCCACTCTGAAGAAGGGTAGGGTTCTTTTAAGTTATGAAATAAATTAATAATATGGACATGAACCTTGTTTGTGTCTTGGATCCATACAGAGAAATCCACACATGGTATCAATTGTGCATATATTTATTGTTCTAAAATAAAAGAAATTTGCAAAAATGACTACTGCTAAATGTATATTTTCACGCTGCTTTTGACTCATCAGGTTTTTGTATTGCTCTTTTCTTGGGCAAAATCCAGGGATTTCTTTTGATAAGACTGTGAACCAATCACTAGCAGAGAGGAGTGGGGCCTGGGGGAGACGAACACTTCTACAGAGTTGGCTTTTCCCTTTTCTTTTTTGGCGATATATTTTTTAATCTATTCTTTTGAAATGAGGAATAACAATACCAAGAATCATTGACAGAGAGGTCAATATTCTTCACAGATAATCTAATCCTGCAGACTCTAAAATAAATGAAAATGAACTTGAGAAATGACTGGAAGAAGAGTGTGAAATGAAAAAAAGGGGGGAGGCACACAATTAAATCCAGGCATCAGCTTTCATATTGATTGCCAGTAAAGCAAAGGAAGACGTTTCTGTATGTCAATTTTAGCTGTGATTATTTGTCCATAATTATATACTTTGGTGGAAAGGCAATATTGCTCTCGTTCTGGTCTGAGAGATATTTTGTGGCAATGAATTTTGGGCTCCGCCCCCCCCACATTGGATGCTACTAAGTAACTCAGCAAATTTGATCTCATACTTTCAGCATAAAGGGGCTTGCCATGATTGTGAAGATAAGTCATCTTGCCCATTTCCAAATTTTGTTATGTTACAAATAAGAGAATTGGAATGCTAACCCTACTCGCATGGACAATACAGTGGTACCTTGGGTTACATATGCTTCAGGTTACAGACTCCGCTAACCCAGAAATAGTACCTTGGGTTAAGAACTTTGCTTCAGGATGGGAACAGAAATCGTGCAGCGGTGGTGCTTCAGGTTAAGAACAGTTTCAGGTTAAGAACGGACCTCCGGAACAAATTAAGTACTTAACCCAAGGTACCACTGTACTTGCTCAACAGGATTAATTCAGCAAAGTTACATTGAAGAGACATGCATCTTCTCTGAAGTCATGAACTTTTCACTTGTTCAGATAACAGTATACCAGTGTGCTGTTCTGTAGGCTATTTGATCCTTATGGCCAGACCAACATGATATCTGTGGGTATAAACAGGGCTACCAGTGGATTCACAACATACAAGCAGCATGTGAGAACAAATCCCTTCAAGCATATAGTGTATCATCAGCCACATGTTTTAAGCCTCTTTATTGATGCCACCATCACCAGAGGAATTGGGGTATCTGTATCTATGCAACCCACATGGGAGCACAACATATAAATAGTCACACTGCTGGTCCCAGTCAGGCTGTGAGGTCAGTATTAATCCCATGCATTCCAGAAGCATTTATGTGTTGGCCGTCAAAGTCTGTTTAGGGAAAACCAAAGTACGTCTGCATTTGACCTAGGCAAATTTCCCCCCACCACTCATATCCTTTCTTGAAACAAGCTAGAGTGAATCACCAAAAAAAGTCTCCTTTAGAAGGCCTCAGAAATCCAGACCTCTGACCAGAGAACAAGTCAGAACCCATAAAGTAGGCCAAATCTCTGCCTTACTATCAGTTATAAATGGCAAGAATCATACTTATAACAAGGTGTTGTAAGCTATTTTGCAAGGAGCTGATCATTGCCTTGCCCAGCAAATAATCTTTTTACCGGTATTTACCGTACTTATTTTGCCTGAGAAGCTTTTCAGCTTTGGATTTAAAATGCGTCCTATAGCATCCAAACCATTGCTTTTGTAAAAACTTTGCTGTATTGCCTCAGTTATTCATATGTCCCAGTTTCTTCTTGGCTGACAGTAGGTATTCTTTTTTTAATTAACGGTGTATTGCTTAAGTGCCCCCACTTAAACTGCCATTTGCATCAGCAATAAATATTAATCAGCATCTATGAAAAAGAAAAGTGCCATTGTTGGAAATGTAAGCAATTTTGGTGCTACCTAGAGCTCCCTTACTTCTTCACAGACATGAGAACAAATGGTGTTTACATGCTGTGGTATTTCAGCAGACAAATACTCCAGGGTCTCAGTAAATCTCTCTCGCTTAAGTGCTTGCTTGTAAGATCAAGAAAACAATTATAGGTTTAGAAGAAAGTGGCTTAATCTTCAGAGTTTTGCATCAGCTTACAAAATCATCTTGGTTAAGACGAAAACATGCCTTACTTCAAATTGAACATGATAGGATGCTGCTCTTTTTCCTCTCGCTTTCAAGTTGGATAAAATGACAAATCTATTTATTTTCTCATTTTCTCAATACAAGATTGAGAGGGGGGGGATGCAATCCAGTTTAAAAGGACATTGGATCAAGACCATCATTTCTAAGTGTCTAATCTGAGCTCCGATTAAAATCACAAATGGCAAGAAAAACAATGTTTGTAACAGGAGCACTGACAGGGCCAGTCAAGTAGGAATAGCACCACTATAATCATGTTTAAACTGATTCATGCTTTCATACAGTTAATTACAATGATCAGCTCAGAACTGTAAAGCTACATTAACTAGCAGAGGTTTGGAGTGTGTGGGAGGGCAGAGCTCTGTAGTTGCAGAACATCTTACAATTTATTCCTTTATGGTTCCTTATACACTATGAGAAAATCATACATTGGGACACCCCGCACCCCTGCGATGGCTATGAAAAATCATCACAGGTTGACCCCGTAGCTCCCATAGTTGTACAAACAGAGGAAAGAATTGCTAGTGCTAGTTGGCCCATGGCTCATGAACCAAGAGCACGGCTTAGGTCAATCAGGAGTTGTGTCTTCAGTTTTGTCAACTCCGTGGAACTCACTCCCATTAGAAATTGGGCAGGCAGTTTCACATGCCGAGTTAAAATGGTTTTCTTTCAGGATGCCAATTGAACAGTGAATTTTGCTCTGATGTTTTATTCTCCAATGCTTTAAAATGCAATGAATTTGGTGTGATGTCTTATTCTCAAAAGCTTTCATTTGTGTTTTAGGTAAAGGTAAAGGGACCCCTGACCATTAGGTCCAGTCGTGACCAACTCTGGGGTTGCGGCACTCATCTCGCTTTATTGGCCAAGGGAGCCGGCGTTTGTCCGCAGACAGCTTCCAGGTCATGTGGCCAGCATGACTAAGCCGCTTCTGGCGAACCAGAGCAGCACACGGAAACGCCATTTACCTTCCCGCTGGAGCGGTACCAATTTATCTACTTGCACTTTGACGTGCTTTCAAACTGCTAGGTTGGCAGGAGCAGGGACCGAGGAACGGGAGCTCACCCCGTCGCGGGGATTCGAACCGCTGACCTTCTGATCGGCAAGTCCTAGGCTCTGTGGTTTAACCCACAGCGCCACCCGCGTCCCTAATTTGTGTTTTAAATGTTGTCTATTGTATGTTTTCTTGTTTGTGAACAGGTTTGAGACCCAGAAAACGTGCAGAAAAGCAAGGTAAATAAATAAAACCCTTTAAGTATGTTTTACTGGTTTGAGTGATTGGGAGAAGAGTATTTGAGACAGCAAGTATTTGTAGTGGTTAAAGCAGGAGTAGGGGAGCCCAAGTTCAAATTTCCACTTAGTCCTGAAGCTCTTACCTTCAGTTGTTACTATGGAACTCAGCTTAGCTGTTGTTCTACCTCCTAGCACCTTGACTCTGAAATCTATAGGAAAATATGCAAAGCT